GGAACCATCTTCATTCACTTCGTATTCTATTGGTGAGATGTAAGTTCCACTTGGGCGGCTTCTTCCCATGAAATGTTGCTGTGTTGATCTGACTCCCAAGAGAATGCTTACCCAATCCCAACTATCTTAACCTGTTTGAGTCTAGAGTCAACAGTTATCTTCCCCATATATCCTCATAAACTGAGTGGCTTTTGAGCCTTGCACAGGGTTAACATTATTCTAAAAAAAAAGGAAAAAACATCATGAAACTGTTGTTACTCAAATCTAATGCATGAATGAGGCTGCTGGCAACTGAAAATGATGAGAATGATACAATGAAAGGCAATGTAATTCAATACCAGTGCTACTCAACCTATCAAAAAATTGCATTGTATAATACACACTGCATTCTACAGAGTTTTAGAGTTGTCAACCCACAAGGGTACCATTATTGAGAATACAGCTTCAGTTACTTCATCTGGATCAGCAAACATTGGTCTGTCAAAGACTGGCACCATGTCTCTTGACCATTTCCAATTCTTTTGGACAGACATTTGAGTCTGGACAAATGGATAGAGAAACAAAAGCTCCTGTATGGAAGTGAATGCTGGACAATCCCCTCAAAGATGAAGAAGAGACTTGAAGCAACAGAAATATGGTTCTATAGAAAGATGCTGAAGATAACATGGACCGAACATGTGAGCAACAACAAGGTTTTGGAAAAAATGGCAACACAAAGAAAACTTATACTTAAAACCAGGAAGAGGTAATTGAAATTACTGGTGCGCGTAATGAGGACGGAAGGCTCGGAAAATCTGATACCCACAAGACAGATTGAGGGAAAAAGAGACATAGAAAAGCAGTGCGTAACATACTTGATGGGGTTGAGTAAATCGATGGTTGAGCAGGGTTTGGGAGAAATAACAAAAAGTTAAAAGTTATTAAGAGCTACAAGGGACAGGAAGATGTGGAGGGCCATGATTGCTTACGTCCTGAATTGAATTGATACGTACCACCGGAAACTAACTAGGAGGATGGTGGAGTAAAGGTTAGCTGCTCGGAGAACCAGGTTCGAATTCCAATCGAGTTCATTTAGGCGCTAATAACCTTGGGAAGGGTATGAATCGGTCGCTTTTTCTCTCAGCTATGGGTAGATAGCAGGACAGTCTGGGTCCTAAAGCTTTGGTTGGCAACCAGCCTAGGAGAAGGAAAATTCTGAATTCAAACCACCAGCTGCCTTGTAGGTTTTGCATCTTTAAGGGGCAGGGTTACCTGAACATCAACGGTGCTAAAGGAACCGGCAAGGCATTGAACTATTCTGTCTTGAATGTCACTATGAACCACAATTGTGAGATGGACGGGAGTGGAGACCACAGCGGTGGCGCATAATGCGTCACCTGAATAAGACGAAGAATGAAATCGGGATCTTCTTTTTTCATATTGGTTTATCCTGAAAGTAATAAATAAAAAAAAGAAGAGGGTACAAATGAAAGGATTAAAAATTAGTTTTTCTATTTCACTGAAGCAGAGGTAAAACGTATGAGAGCATTATCGCCTACTCTATCTTCTGTTTTTTCTTCCGTTTTTTTTTTTTTTTTCTTTTTTTTTCACAGTTTTCCTATATTTGAATTTTCCGTCTTGGGTATGACGATAAACTACATCCTCGTCCAGGGTAAGACGTTAAATTACGCCCAAAAGCAAGGCCTTTGATCAGGAGGCTTTGAGGAGCGTGGATGTTCCCAGGTCCACCCTGACCCGGGGTGGTAGAACTTGTTAGGGTCCCAGCTATGGGAAAATAGTTAACTCTGTAACTGAGGTAAAAAGCATTTTGAAAGTGTAAAAATAGGTTTTAATACCAGAAATACTTTGTAAAAAGTTATTACCAGAAATAAATTTATGAAGAAAAAAAATATTTAATATTACCAGCAATACGTTTTTGAAAAAAAAAAATATTACCGGCAATATAGTTTTGAAAAAAAAAAAATATTACCGGCAATATAGTTTTGAAAAAAAAAAAATATTACCGGCAATATAGTTTTGAAAAAAAAAATATTACCGGCAATATAGTTTTGAAAAAAAAAATATTACCGGCAATATAGTTTTGAAAAAAAAAATATTACCGGCAATATAGTTTTGAAAAAAAAATATTACCGGCAATATAGTTTTTAAAAAAAAAATATTACCGGCAATATATTTTGAAAAAAAAATATTACCGGCAATATAGTTTTTAAAAAAAAAATATTACCGGCAATATAGTTTTGAAAAAAAAAATATTACCGGCAATATATATTTGAAAAAAAAATATTACCGGCAATATAGTTTGAAAAAAAAATATTACCGGCAATATAAAAAAATATATTACCGGCAATATAGTTTTGAAAAAAAATATTATATCAATATAGTTTTGAAAAAAATATTACCGGCAATATAGTTTTGAAAAAAAAATATTACCAAATAATACATTTTTTTAAATAATATTACCAGCTATACATTTTTGAGGAAAAAAATATTACCAGAAATAGATTTTTGACAAAACATTACCAGGAAAAAAAAAGTTGTCGGCATTAAATAACCCATTGAGGTTGATACGACACAAAACAAACCAAACCAAACCAAACTATATTTGGATTTTCTGTCGACAATTTTTATGACTCTAAAATACCTGCGGAAATTTCATCATGGCTACACGAAATATTTTAAGTTAACAACTTTAACAAAATATTGCAATTACAGCCAAAAGTATCAACACTGGTCATTATTTGAAGAACTAAAATAAAAAGATTTAAAATTGTCAATGTTTTCTATTTCACTGAAGCAGGCGTTAGGCGCCTGAGAGCATTATCGCTTTCTCTGCTTTTTTCTTTCTTTTGTTCTTCTTCTTCTTATTATCTATGTGTTCATTTTCACTGTCAGTTCATCGACATACGTGATACACTCAGGCTTGTCTCTTTCGATTTATAACCAACGAAGCAGAGATTTTCCGGCAACGGTAGACTGGTTACCAACCAAGGCTATAGGCAGTGACCGCCCTAGGGTTGTTGGCGCCTCAAAAGTACTGAACTTTTTAACCGTTACAAGCATTTTTTTTTTTTTTTTTCACAAGGAGAAAGACTAAAAATATAGAATAACGAGTTTATCACAATATACAACTTAATACAATCTAAAGAAAATATTCATTATCCTACCATTTTTTTTTTTTTGCCTTTAGATCTGCAAATCTTTTCATGGCACTTTATACACCTATCTTCTTTACAAGATCTCGTCCTGGGTATGACGATAAACTACATTTAGCAGCAAGGCGTCTGATCAGAAGGTTTTGAGTAACTTGGAACCATTTCTTAATTGCTTTTCTTCCCAGGTCTATCCAGATCTGGGTGGTAGCACCTGTTAGGATCCCAGCTATGGGCAAATAGTAAACCCCTCAAACTGGGATTAGAAATATATTTTTATTGTAAAAATTTCCAAAAATAGACTTTAATAATAAAAAAAAATCATCAAAGCTCTCAAGAAAATTAAATTTCGATATTAAATGACCCATGAAGAGTTGATGTGCCATAAAACAGAACAAACCAATCTTTACAAGATTGTTTTTTATTGATAAAATAGCTAAAGAATTTAATCTGTCTTCAGTCATGGATGACCACATGTATGTTTTTTATAATCTTTAGTTTTGGAAGATTCCAAACACATGATATGGTAGCATGATGGCGTCCTCGATCTTAATGGCGCCCTAGGCGACTGCCCGAGTTGCCAGTACTTTGTCACGGCCGAGTTTTTACTGCTAACTGGGAGGAGGAGAAATGGATTCATGTCTTTCTCAAGGATATTAGCATGTAGTAAATATAATGAACTCAACTGGAATTCGAACTCGGCTCTTCGATTCCTCAATCCGAGCCGCTATCCACCGTTCCTATCTTTCATTATCCCAGTCTATCTTCGGATTGCCGTGTCAAACTCTCCGTCGACTGTTTCTTCGCTACCCGGATGATTAAATTGTTTCAGCTGCTTCATTTTATTACCGCTACATAATCTTAACATTTTATTTCTCCTTCTAATGGGTTAATGTATATCTTGTTAAATATCAAATAGCCAGGAATTCAAACGTTGCAGGCAAGTCTAGTTAAACGCTTCTTTCTAACCTCATTCGGTCCTGTCATAGGTTGAGCTAAATAAACAACATTTATCATACTGGATTTCTGCCAACGTAAATATTCACAAAATTTAGCCGGTCTTGGCTATAGAATCGAGTCTATAGTACTATTCAACCCATAGGTGGGGGAGAAGAGATGGATTTAAACCTTTTCCAAGCGCGTAAGTGAATATAACGAACCCAACTAAAATTCGAACTCTACCCTGCGCTTTCTCGTTCCAATCCGATATACACTGCACTAGAACATACATCCGGCAACGCAAATTATTATTATTATTATTCGCTCACTAATACTGAAAAAAGATGGCCTTATATCATTTTCTTCTATTTTAGTCTATTATTAATCTCAAATAATGGAAGGGTGGGATTTAAATTGTTACACTCTACAAGACTTGCTTTTACACCTTTATTTCTAGTATATATACATATAGCTTCAGAGTTTGGCTAGCCGGAAATAAACAAAATAGTTAGGGATTTAGTCTGTCCTCGGCTACTATACTAAAAATTTTTGAACTATTAAGAGGGCATAAAGCGGTCACCCATCTAGGCACTGACCAAGCCGGAGGTTACTTAACATCGGTAATCGTACGAGAACCTGTGTGTTAACGTGATATATTCAACTTTACATGCGGTCACCCATTTAGGTACTGACCAGGATCGATTTTGCTTAACTTTGGTGATCGGACGAGAACTTGTGTGTTGTTGTGATATGGCTGTAAGCTCATTATATATCCAACATTATATTGTTTGGTATTCAGATACGGTCACCCATCTAAGTACTGACCAAACTCGATGTTGCTTAACTTCAGTGAAACGCACGTGAAATGGTGTGTCAACTTGATGTGGCCGTAAGCCTATTATATATCCAACTTTACAGCATCTGGTATTCCCATACGGTCACCCATTTAGGTACTGACCAGGCTCGATGTTGCTTAACTTTGGTGATCGGACAAGAACCTGTGTGTTGGCGTGATATGGCCGTAACCACATTATACCACCCGCACATTAAATCTTACAGCATCTGGTATTCCCATGCGGTCACCCACCTAGGTACTGACAAGGGTCGATTGAGCTTAACTTCGGTGATCGAACGTGAACTTGTGTGTCAACATGATACGGCCGTACACCCATTTTATATCCGACTTTACAGCACCGGGTATTCCCTTGCGGTCACCCATCTAGGTACTGACTAGGCTCGATGTTGCTTAACTCTGTGTGTTAACGTGATGTGGCCGTAAGCCCATTACACCGCTTGCACATCAAGCCTTACAACATCTGGTATTCGCGTTCGGTCACCCATTTAGGTACTGACCAAGCTCAATGTTGCTTAACTTCGGCGATCGTACGTGAACTGGTGTGTCAACCTGATAGGGCCGTAAGCTCATTATATCACCCGCACATCAAACATTACAGCACCTGGTATTCCCATGCGGTCACCCATCTACTGACCAGGCTCGGCGTTGCTTAACTACGTGATGTGACTGTAATAAGAAATAATTCAACATGGATACCCAAGAAAGTGACACTAGAAAGTGAATCCTTTGCGGATGGTGCTTGTCGTATTTAGCCTTCTCAGTCTCCCATAAAAATATTGAATTAGTTGTTAAGTCTGTTGCTATGAAAGTCGGTCCCTTGTATCGGGGCTAGACAATCTTCCGCGCCAAATTCTTGTGTTTATGTTTTCTATCTAGATGTAGGGAGACAGAAGGCGATGATCTCCCCTTGGAGATGTGTCGGCCGCCTAGTGACGCCATTTCATGCAGTGACGAGAGTGGCAAGTCATTCAGTTTGTTTACAGCAACCAAACCGAGCGGATGCCTTTTTAGCCTGGACCAAGGGGCCCGGGTTGAGACTAAATCTGCCCCCTCCAGCAAATGCTACAGTTTACAAGTCCATGGTGCCGTTTCACTTTGGGAATATATATTTCCCAGATATAGAAAGAAACTCCGGCTCGCAGTCCTCAATTTGGGAAAACCCAAGACTCGCCGCTTCTCCTTAATGGAATATGTCATTGCCTATGGCATAGTAGGGGAATCCGGACCGTTTGAATCTGGTGTCCTAAACATGGCTTCTCCAGAAACAGAAGACTTTCGATATTGTATGTAAGACCCTTCCTTTTTATTTCTCCTTACACTTTGCTTTGCTGTGTAGATATATTATATACTAGCTTAAAAGCCGCCCCATCGGGAGGCATTTCAGCTAGCTCCTGTGGAGGGCTCTTGATTGGGCCTTCATCACAATAGGTAGAGAGGAGTGGATGCGATAGGCAAAAATAAACTACAGAAGACCTCAAAATTGATCGCTGCATTTAAGTATTGCATTAATATTTAACTTAACTTTTAAAAGTTCAACGATAATTCTTCCACCACCATTTAATTTAAAGACAATTTGATGAACGTAGGTCCTTACTTTCCGAGCAAACAATTACTTTTATTTCATGGATGACTTTTACTGCAATTAATTTCGATTATTCCCAAAATTGTTTCCAAGTTATAAAAATTATTATCGTACAAAAAAATTCGTCACAAACAATAGAAGTAATGAAAACTTGAGAATCCAAAATTTCAGGATTGGGGGTCTGGATCCGAACCGGAATGTTTTTAATTTGCTCACGGAGTCAGCCTGATTCCAAAATTGTATGATATGTTGGGCTACGGCCTCTAGGAGTAAAGTTGAAAAAGTGTGACACACTGACACAGTGATGTTCGCATTTTGTTATCTAGATTATTCTCCGCGTGTGTCACGTGTAAATAATGTATATATATATATAGATTTATATATGTCTTAGTGGTCTAAAAGTCTCTCTGAGAACAAATCAGGTTTGTCATTCCTGATTCCTTTCAGCCATTCCGTTCCTACCGTGAAATACGATGTTGCTATATCACGGATATGATAATGCCCATAATGGGGGAAAATATATGTAAGAATAGACCTTTCTTCGCTAGCTATCTCCCGTTACGTAGATATTCTTTACTAACTCCATAGATGTATCTGCAATGTTATCGGTCCCAATCTGACAAGTTGGCTCCGATCCCTTCCCACTGTCATAACCTGGCTTCCCTTTACCTATTCTATAAATATTTTCTCGGTAATCATTCTGAGAAGCTTTCCTCTTTAGTACCTCGCTTTCACGAATTTAAGCGCAGTACTAGAATGGCAGCTAGGTCTCATCATTTCACTGTTGATATGCCTATATATAACCGTAAGTTCTTCTTCTCTATCACGTCTTCTTCCAGCTTTGTTGGCAACTTTAAATTCCGTTTTTTGTTGTCCCCTCTGTCTCTTTCATTTTCTGTAACCCCTTGCATACTAGTGGCTTTTATTGCCTTGCTTGGAGTGAAATGATTTTAAACATATGGCTTCCTTAGATCCAAGTTAGCACCTGATGACGTGTACTTAATTGGTCGGGTGATTTACTAACGTGTATACCAGTCTTGACCTCTGCAGATGAGATTGAAACATACTCATCACCCTCGTATTCCATTAATAAGGAAGAAGTTCCACTTTGACATCATCTTCCAAACAACTGTTGCTTTATGGAACAGACTCCGGACAGGATGTTTTCCCAATCACTACCATCTTGACCTCTTCAAGTCTAGGGTTAACCGTTATCTTTTCCTTTCGTATTCCAATAGTAAGAAGTAAGTTCCATTTGGACAGCTTCTTCCCAAGAACTGCTGCTTTGTAGAACAGACTCCCGACAGGATGTTTTCCGATCACTAAAATCTTGACCTCTTCAAGTCTAGGGCTAACCTTTGTCTTTCCTGCATCTCTCCATGAAGTTCACTTCTTGCCTTTTCTTACGCTCATCCAACACCACACAGTAACCCTCTGCCTTAATCGGCTCTTGGGCCTTGCATTGAATGAACATTATTAGTAAAAACGTCACATGATTATTAACACTTCAGGTTGCCGAAGACAAAAGACTCGTGCTTCGATTACGCCATCCATCACTCATTTTGGAATGGGACACGAGGCTGAATGTATATAAATCGAAGACTAGATTAGTGCCGATCATTGTTTATTCATCAAAAATTAGCATGCCGAAAATCCTTCCTTGAAGAGTTCTTGAAATTACTTAATCTCGGCACCAAAGATTAAATGAAAAAGATAAGGATACTCGACCGAATATCGCATGACGCAGCAATATCTCACTTGAAGGTTTCATATCATACGTCTTATTTATTTGTTTATTTTATTTATTTTTAATTACATTTTGCCTCGAGACTTTTCTTTGCAATCTCAAACTGTCAATGTTTGGTCCTTGTATCTGGCGGTCTAATTTTACTTAGTTTATATATATATATATATATATATATATATATATATATATATATATATATATATATCTCTGTAAATTTCTAAACGTTATTTGGTTCCATCTGGCAATAAATGTACATCATCTGCATCTCTCGAAGATGTCACACTTATATGCAAAGCAAGAATTGCGTTTGGACTCAATTTGTTCTCTTCTGGTTGCCATGTTTTTTTCTCTTTTCATCTGCGGATTCTTGGGTCTTTGGAGATTTTTGATTCCGTTTTTTTTTTCTTTTCTTCTTCAATTACTGCTAATCCTTAATTCTTTCCTTCTTTTATTTTTCCACATTTCTTCTTTTTCTCTTCTTTTTTGCATTTGTTTATTTATACTTTCTCCACCTCCCCCCCTTTTTTTTTCTTTTTTTCCTTTCTTCTTTCTTTTCCATCTTTAATAACACGATATGGTTGTAATCTTTTTTCCTACATTGTTTTGGGCTTTTCCTTCGTCTTTTTGCTTTAAAACTTCTTTCGTTCTTTCTTTCTTTATTTATTTATTCCTTCCTTCTTTCTTTCCTTTTCTCCTTTCTTTCGATTTAGTATTTAGACCAACCTTCTTTCTTTCTTTTTATTCCTTCATTCTTTTTTTCTTTCTTTTTTTGTGTCTGTCCGTTTGTCGACATTTCTGTTTTTTTCTTCTTCCAACCTTATTTATACTTACTTCCTTTCGTCCTCCCTTCCTTCCTTCCTTCTCCCTTTCCTCCTTCCTTCCTTCCCTCCTCCCTTCCCTCCTTCCTTCCTTCCTTCCTTCCTCCCTTCCTCCTTCCTTCCTTTCTCCCTTCCTTCCTCCCTTCCTCCCTTCCCTCCTCCCTTCCTCACTTCCTTCCTTTCTCCCTTCCTTCCTTCCTCCCTTCTTTCTTTCCTCCCTTTTTCCTCCTTCCTTCCTTTTTTTGAGGAATTCCTCTTTAAAC